GTTGAGCTATAGGCGCCGAGCCCTCTTTTAAAATTCTTATTGAAACATCTTTATATATCTTGCTGAAAATTAAAGAAGGGATATCTTATGCAAGTACAGTATATTAGTATGAAATGCTTACTTCTTTTGCTTCCTTTGATTTGACTCGGTCCAGATCACCCAGTCTCATTTTTATTAGGTGCCCTGTAATTTCAGACATCCGCCGCTGATCTGAAGGTAAAAAATAATAAATTTTACTTTTCATGGGGATGATTTATACCTTTTTTCTTAAAAAAATCTATTATCCCCAAGGTATAAAAATATCATTTGATAATATTTTACAGACACATACATCTATGTGTCTATGAAGAATTTAAGGTAGTAAGTCAAAAAATGACTTGCATGTGGATGACCATCCTACTTTTTAGATCACTACAAAACATCTTAAAACATATTCAGTCACCTTTATAGTAAAAGTGATAGGCAGAGTTTATCTGGAGATCTCAAAACCACAGATACATAAAACATCATTCACTGGAATTGTCTGGGAATGAAACTGTGGTTGTTGCCTAAGGAATGTGCAAATTTGTGGCCTTATTTTAGCTGTTCCATATACTTCATAAAATGAAAGATACTTCAATCACACTGTTGTTTACATCCAGTTTATACATTACCCCAATAACAAAATTTACCATCTTCTCTTTGTGCATCCTGGTTGAATCTCAAGGATCTTGTGGCATCCCACTTATTCTTCTGCATACTCACACTATTGAAAAAATCGAACAAAAATCAGCATTGATGCTGCTTTAAGAGTGGACATCTAGTTGGATTAAGACGCAATACTCACACGAAAGGAGACACATCTCTAGAAGCTGACTAAAAAAGAGTAGACAACATTAAGACCCAGTTAGAACATATTTACTGATTAGTGTTATAGTTAATAATAAAAAGAGTTCACATTTATTGAGTGTATGACACTATATCAAGAGCATTAGTGCTATTTCATTTAAACCTTGAAACAAAATAAGACAGGCACAATTATTATCTCCATAATAAAACATGTTCAGAGTAGTTAACTTTTCTAAAAAGAGACAGACCTAGAACTTGAACTTGGCTTTATCTGCCCACCTTGGAGTCCTAGCTTATTTGATCTGTTTTTTCTTTAATTTTTTTAGTTCCCTGAACGTGGCAGCCAAGGACACCCCAAGGCAATCTTTTAGAATTAACCTACTTGTGGTTCTTAACATGAACATCAATGTACAGCCTGTCCAGTTTAGCTGTGTGTATCTTATTGTGGCCTCAACCTTCCACACAGTTTTGAAATTCATGATTTCTCTTTCACCCAAATATGGTTATTACTGTCTTCTCATCCCTGCCTCGCTTTTTACACCTTCTTTCAAAGGCAAGGGAAATAAGAATTATTTTAATAGGTCATAAAATATAATTTATTTTTAATTTTAAAAGTCTATTTTTTGAGCTGGGTGTGGTGGCTCACGCCTGTAATCCTAGCACTCTGGGAGGATCCTAGCACAACATGGGTGGATTTTTTGGGCTCAGGAGTTTGAGAGCAGTCTGAGTAAGAGCAAGACCCTGACTACTAAAAAGAGAAAAAACTAGCCCAGCATTGTGGCAAGTGCCTGTAGTCCCAGCTACTTGGAAGGCTGAGACAAAAGGATCATTTGAGCCCAAGAGTTTGAGGTTGTGTGAGCTACAATGTCATGGCACTCTACCCGGGATGAAAGAATGAGACTCTGTCTCAAAAAATAAAAGTCTATTTTCTAACTAAGTACTATTGGCTCAAAACTCATAAAGTATAAATAGCACATATAATAAAAATCTCTCATTTGGGCGGTGCCTGTGGCTCAAGGAGTAGGGCGCTGGCCCCATATACTGGAGGTGGTGGGTTCAAACCTGGCCCTGGCCAAAAACTGCAAAAAAAAAAAAAAATCCTCTCATTTATGTCTCCCACACAATCAGTTCCCTTCTTTAGAGGCAACCAATTTTATCAATTTCTTATGGAACTTTCCAGAGATAACTTCTGAAAATGAGGAAGCTCATATATATATCTCCCTATCTATTTCACACAAGGGTAGTTAGTGAATTATGCCACTGTACATCATTGTGCACCTTCCTTTTTTCACTTGTTGATGTATTTTAGAGATCTTTAATCAGATCAGTCTATAAAAAGTTTCTTCATTTACTTTTATACTGTTAGTACTCCATTGTGTATCTGTTATTCTTTTCTTTTGGATTTTTCATAGCTATACTCACTTTCTTATTTTTCCATATGAACTTTAGAATAATAGCAGATAATTTAAAGTTACCTTCTCTGATGCCTTTTCTTTCTTCTGAGCACAGGGTGAAGACATCTGCTTTTTTGGTTGTTTAGTGAATTTCTTTGGCTTCTCCTTTTTCCCTGATAATGAAAAGTCAACATTAAGAGCTTAAGTACCATGTTCCTCTTCAATATACTTGCTACTTCTAGATAATAAAACAATTTAAAAAAGAAGTAGGTTTAAGAAAAAATGCAAATTAATTCCAGATAAGAAGCAAATATATGGTGATGTAAAGCTGAAATTGCTTTACAGGAGTCCATTTTAACTACTTTTCTTTTTGCACACTTGGTGAAAACCTTTGGGGGAAAGTGAGGACAATGAATTCAAAATTTCAATGAAATTAAATACAGAAAAATGGTAGGAAAAACAACGTATTTATTTCTCTGAATCTAATTCTACAGCATTAGAAGTATTCTAATTCCAGCATTTTTGTTTAAAACAACTATAGCTCAGCAAAATGAAATTTGAGGGAGAGAAAAATTTAAATGTCTATAAAATGGGTTGGAACCTATAGCTCAGCAGCTAGGGCACCAGCCACATACACCAGAGCTGGCAGGTTCAAATTCAGCCTGGGCCTGTCAAACAACAATAACTGCAACCAAAAATGGCTGGGTGTTGTGTGGCGGGGTGCCTGTAGTCCTAGCCACTTGGGAGGCTGAGGCAAGAGAATCGCTTAAGCCCAAGAGTTTGAGGTTTCTGTGAGCTGTGCACTCTACCCAGGGCGACATAGTGAGACTCTGTCTCAAAAAAAAACAAAAACAAAAACAAAAAACAACAAACAATAAAAAAATCTTACAGCTTTATGTGCTTATATAGTCCCTCTTCCACCTAATCTGAATTCCATAGTTTCAGTTCCCTGTGCTAAACTGTGACCCAAAAATATTAAGATATTTTGAAAAAGACCATATTCACTGTGGCGCAGTGAATAGGGCGCCAGCCCCATATACTGAGGGTGGTGGGTTCCAACCTGGCCCCGGCCAAATCGTAACAAAAAAGTAGCTGGGTGTTGTGGCGGGCACCTGTAGTCCCAGCTACTCAGGAGGCTGAGGTAAGAGAATTGCCTAAGCCCTAGAACTGGAGGTTGCTGTGAGCTGTGATGCCATAGCACTCTACCAAGGGTGACAAATTAAGACTCTGTCTCTAAAAAAAAAAACCAAAAACTACATTCATGTAACTTTTATTACAATATATTGTTATAGTAGTTCTATTTTATTATCAGCTATTGTTAATCTGTTACTGTACCTATTTATAAATTTAACTTTTTATAGTATGTCTATATAGGAAAAGACACAGTATATGTCTGGCATCTCTAATCTGAAGATCTGAAATCCAGAATGCCCCAAAACCTGAAACTGTTTGAGTACTGACATGATGATACAAATAGAAAATTCCCCATCTGACTTTGTGTGATAGTCAAAGTCAAAATGCAGGCACACATGGCTGGGTGTACTGGCTCATGCCTGTAATCCTAGTACTCTGGGAGGCTGAGGTAGGTGGATCACTTGAGCTCAGGGGTTTGAGACCAGCCTGAGCAAGAGTGTGACCCAGTTTTTAAAAACAGCCTGGCATTGCAAAGGGCACCTGTTGTCCCAGCTACTTGGGAGGCTGAGGAAAGAGGATCACTTCATTTGAGCCCAAGAGCTGCTTTGAGCTTCCTGGGCTCAAGCCTTCCTCAGCTTCTCAGAGCAGTGGATTACAGGCCTGAGCTAACATCCCTAGTGGCTCTGCATATACTCTTTTTCTTTTTTTGGGACAGTCTCAAGCTGTTGCCCTGGGTAGAGTCCTGTAGCATCACAGCTCACAGCAACCTCCAACTCTTGGGCTTAAGTGATTATCTTGCCTCAGCTTCCCAAGTAGCTGGGACTACAGGCATCTACCACAATGCTCACCTATTTTTTTTTTTGGTTGCAGTTGTCATTGTTGCCTAGCAGACCCGGGCCAGGTTTGAACCGGCCACTGTGGGTGTATGTGGCCAGTGCCCTTGCCAACTGAGCTACGGGAGCCATCAAGGAAATTTTTCTGATTGGTTTCACCAACATTTTGTATCTGTGGCTGGTGCTCATTTCAGGGAAGCTGGACTGGAGGATGACTGCAAGATTTTGTTATTCCTTGAAAACTTCTGCTCATCCTCTAGATGACATAAAATGTTTATGCCATGTACTTTCCCCCAAATGTGACTTCATTAATTCATCCATGTGATGTAAGTATCCTTAGATCAATGAAGAGTAAATACAAAAACAATTTCTTGAAAAGCATGTTAGTGGCAGTGAACAGAGGCATGGCTGTGGAAAGTTTTCAAAAGGAGTTTAACAGGAAGGATGCTGAATATGTTGTTGCCAACACATGGAGCACAATGACTATAAAGACATGGGTGTGCACAACTGGCACAACTGCTGGCCTGTGACTCTGTTCTAGTCTTTGTTCATCATCAAAGAATGAACGAAGTGGTAAAGTTTGAAGGATTTCATATGTCAATTGAGAAAAAAATGATGTTGATCTCCTTACATATGCAAAGATTGTATCTTTAGAGTCCATCACTAAACCAGAAGAAGCTGATATCAAAGATGCTTTTATTATAAAATCAGTAATTAGGCTCCAATTGTTCATTCACTAACTAATGGTGAAACAACTGAAATAACTGAGTCAAGGTGATTGCGATAATAGTAATGATGAAGATGATGTCAACACTGCAAAAAAAGTGCCTAAGATGACAGGGTGAAAATGTGTGATTAGCTTATCAAAGGACTAGAGCAGTGTCCATTCATGACAGAACAAGAAATTATGTCAGTTTGGGGTGGCACCAGTCCCATATGCTGGAGGTGGTAGGTTCAAACCTAGCCCCAGCCAAAAATTGCAGAAAACAAAAACAAAAACAACAGCAACAGCAAAAGAAATTAAGAAATTATGTCAGTTTATAAACTCAAAGACAAAAACCACTGTTAATAAGGTGGATGACTCTGAAGGAAGCATGTTGAAAAGCCATCTGGTAGAAGGCTTCCTCATTCCTAGAGGACCCACCTCTTGATCATTCAACTGTTTCTGATGTTTCTTCTCACTTAAAAAAAATACAGCATACAGTAACTTTTAACCAAAACACAGCATCATAAGGGAAACTAAAATCCCGCCCTTTTTTGTTGCTGCTGTTAACAGCTGATACTGAGAAAGAGCACAAGACACCAGCAACTAACATTATATACTTAATGGTTAAAGACTGAATGTTTTCTTTTTTTTTTT